TGAGGGCCTCTCGGCTCTAGACAAACCCCTCAGTGCCTGCTCTGTGAAAGGAGGGCTGGGCCCTTCGGGTGTGTGGCCGCTTTCGGGGGTTGGGGGTGGGGGGGAACGGGGCACGACAGCCTCGGCAGCAGTGGCACGGGAGGAACACGGGGGAGCAGCATTCTCCCCACTGCTCCCGGCCCCAGCCCCGGCCCCGGCGCGCTGGCCAGGCACCCGCGGTTGGCGGCTGGTTGCCGGTGGTGGGAGGTTTTCGCAGGCATCACCTCAGTGCTTCAGCGGCGATCAGCTCCTGCCAAGTCGTGGTCCCTTCCTGTGGACGACATCCCCCTGTACCCCATGACAACCTTATGGAGGAGGTATCAATAGTCTCCCCAGTTTTCCACAAGAGTAGACCGAGGTTCAAACAGTCACTGACTTACTTGGGACATGCACTTTTTAAGTGGTGTAAGCACCGCTGGTGAAAACAGCGGAGGCCCTCCCTGGGGAACAGGGCTGGCGGCTGGTCACGAGAGGTCGAAAGCCACCAGATGATCTGGGGGTGAATTGAAACACTTTGCCCCATTAAAGGAATTCCCAACAGGCATTGACCTGAAGACATTTTCCAGGGCAAGTGGCCTTCCAAAGACCTTAAACTCTCTAGGTTTCGGCTTTGCTGGGAGAGGGAAGCTGGCCTGCTGACCCGGCCCCGGAGCTCCAGCGCTCTGACCTCGGACATTCCCAGCACCTGGGCCTTCCCTCCGTACCCCGTCGCCTCAAGCCTGGCTGGGCCCTGTGGCTGGGCACAGGGTGGGCTGCTGGCTCCAGAGCCTCAAAGCAGAGCAGACGGACGACCAGAACGGTAAGACGCGCAACGGGCCGTGCTATTCACGGACCCCCACCAACCAAACCGCTGGCGGTGCAAAGCAGAGCCACGAACCTGGGGCCAAAAATCAAAACACTGAAATGTAAAAAGTACAAAAAAAAAATGGTGAGCCAAGAATTAAAATTAAGTTAGCCCCAAAACTAAATTAATATCATAATTGAAAACAAAGACACAGGGTAAAAAACTGCACGTGCGTGCACACCCTACAGACAAACGCTGAACATTGACTAAAAAGACACGTCGAGCGTTTGTTCAATGCAGCCTGCACAGACAGTGATGGTTATTTTTTCTTTCTATGTTTCTAAACTTTTAAAAATTACAAAATGTTTATAATAAAAAGCTCCTCATGTTTAATCTTAAGATATCACAGTTTTAAATAGCATTTATATTTCTGAGCATTTTAGAATATTAACACTCAAACCTTGTAAAATTTAACACACGAAAAAGAGCAACAACTGAAGCTGGTCTGAAAGCCAACAGCTCATCAAGCAACTAAAAGTTAGCACTCTGAATCAGAACACAATTCTGGGAAGGAGAAGGTTTAAAGATGTCCCAGAAACAAGAAAAGAAAACGCCAGACAAGTACAAATGACAGTTTACTTTTACCAAACAGCTTATCAAATGATCTTTATGTAAATACTGCAAATGTTACAAAGCCCCTCAAAAATCCCAACATTATTTTTACAGATTAGAAAAGAATAAAGGCCAAAAATAACACCAATAGCTCAATTAAAATAACTCATGCTTGTGTTTACATAAAATTTGATGAGCATAATATATTCGTCACACCACTGTAATTATTCTCTGAAAATAATACTCTAAATATTATTTTGACAATGTAATTATAGTTCTTACCTCAAAAGTGGTTAACAAAAAACCGGCACAGATGCCCTGCCAGAACCCTACCAAGAAAGAGGTTCTCACAGAGAAACAGAACGGTACAGGCACTTCATGAGGACCCAGAATACCTTTCGAAAGATTTGTATTAGGTTTGAACTAACATACTATAAAAACTTTTTAAGTTTCATTATTGAATCCAAATTTTATTATTGAATTCCCAATAAAATTAATATTAGCTGCTTTTTTCAAGAAGGTGGTGACAAAACTCAGATTGTTTTCCTTCTTGCCTCAGTAATAGCCTTCCAGCTCTGTTTATAAACACAAGTTCTCTACTTGAAATTGATACAACTGAAGTATTAAAGAAGCTCTAAATAAATAGATGTTCCATACACACAGACTGCAAGAAACAGTACCATTTACCTGGCAATTCTCCCCCCCAAAAATCAATAAATTCCATATAATTCCTAGTATCCACAATATAAAAGTAACTTTTATAATTTGAGTAGAAAAAGACAAACAGCTCAATTAAAAACTAGGCCAAGGACTTGAGTAGAGATTTCCCCAAAGAGGATTAACAAATGGCCAACAAGCACATGAGACACTCCACATCATTAATCATTAGGGAACTTCCAAAGGCCTTCAGCTTTCTAGATCTCCGTATCCACCAGGATGATTATAATCTAAATAAAAGGAAACAAATTTTGGCCAAGATATGGAAAAACTGGGACCTTGTTGGTGAAAATGTAAAATGGTTCAGCTGCTGTGGAAAAGTCTGGAGGTTCTTTAAAAATTTACGTATGAACTTAACCCCACAATTCCTCTCTTAAGCACATGCCCAGAGGAGCTGAAGGCGGGCACTCGACAGGAACTTGCACAGGCGCGGACTTACTGACAGGGGCAGAAAAGCTACATGGTGGGAACCACCCAAATATCCATCAACGAGTGAGTGGATAAAGAAAACATGGTGTAAGCATTTAATGGAATATTTTCCAGGCATTAAATAAAGTTCTGATACATGTTACAATATGAATGGGCCTCAAAAAACATTGCGCTAAGTGAAAAAAGCTAGAACAAAAGATCCCTTAATTCTATGGTTCCATATAAAAGAAATATCCGGAACAGGTAAATGCACAGAAAAACACAAGAGGGGTGGTTGCCAGGGCTCCAGGCAAACAGAACACAGCTGCTTGGGGGGCACAGGGTTTCCTTGTGGGGAACACAAAAATATCTGCAATTAGATAGAGGTGGAAGGCGTACACCCCTGTGAATGCGCTATACGCCACAGTGGAGAGTGGTTAATTTCATGTTATGCGTCAATAAAAGGTGGGAGACCAGAGCAAAGAGATAATGCACTGAGGGGGACATGGAGTCCAGGGGAGATATTTTGAATATGGAAAAAAAGGGAGCATACTGTACTTTGATGAAAGGGAGAAAAGAGGGAACAGCTGATGAAGCAGAGAGAAAGGGGACAATTTCAGGGGCGGGTGTCTGCGTGCAGGAGTGGAGCGCTGGGCCGGGCTGATGGCTATTTAATCACAGCGTTCGCTCACAGGGCACTTCCTCTGTCTTATTTCGGGGCCCCTCGTCACAGGAGGAACCCACTGCCCACCACGGCTCCGCCGGGCTGCCAGGGACACACATCCGCCACGCGAGCATTTGTCAGCAATTAGACGCAGTACGTTCTGAACTCTTTCCGAACTACCATGCCACACACAGACTTCAAAAATAGCTGCCTTTCCAAGCAAGAGAGTGAACTCTGTCTTTTATTGCGGATTTTTAATCCCCCAAGTTCAGCATTGAGGCTTCCGTTTTATTATAAAATGGAGTTAACAAAAATAACTTTATAACATCTTTAAAACACTTTACAACTAATCCTACATCCTATCAATTTCTTGAGAATATTTGAAAAATTACTGCTGTTTTTAAAAACTGAGAGAAAACATTTTGTAAATTTTTAGATAATTCAAAAATAATGACAACTTCCCAAAGGAAAAATTCTCAATCATATAAAAAGGCATAGGAATTTTAACAAATGAGCTTTCAATAAAAACACTGAGACATCACAGAATAGAATGCGAACCACCAGGCCTGGCAGCCCTCACGCCGCAGAGCCTGCCCCCGAGGAGAGAGGGCGCACGTGCGTTCCCACCGCGGTGAGCACGCCTCGCGGACCTCCGCGCACAGGCATCAACAGCTGCGTGTGTTGGATAAATCAACTTATAACTCAGATCATTTTAAATACAGCTGGAGATTTCTCACTTAAAGAAGTGCTTGCTGAATTATGTTATACTTTCTTTACTAAAAAGAATTTTTAACTACATCTATTTATAAGCCAGATGTTTATGTTTGGATTGCCTTATTAAACGACTCAGATTTACCCATAAAGTATTTCAATTCTTTGTATAAAGATATCATATATTAAAATTCTGTTTTTAATATGATGTTAAGATAATAACCCAAGTTCAAAGAAGTGTTGATGCCAACAGTTCAAGAACCAAAAACATTCAAAAAAATTCTAGACCAGCTGCCTGGCTTTCTCTTCACCCCACACGGACAGCCACCGACAGCCAGCGCGGCCTTCCCGCAGCGCGCTACAGGCTTCCTCCTTTCACGCAGGCAGGGCCTGGCTCCCCTCAGTGGCCACCAGCTTCCCGAGGGCAGGGATTTTTGTCCCCTGGGCCACCGTCCCACCGCACCCAAAGGCCTCCAGCTGGCCCCGCCCCTTAGCTGAGAGACCTGCACTACTGCACGAGGTGACTGCACTACGCGCTTCGGCTGCATGAAGCGCCGCAGTCTGGCTGGGGCTTCAGCAACCCACGTGCATCTCGGCTCTGCAGGCTGACGTGGGGCCGGCTCTCTCCAAGGCCTCCCTCCTCGGCTCGCACGGCCACATTCTTCCTGTGTCCTCAAGCGGCCTTTCCCGTGTGTGTGTCTGTTTCCCGGTGTCCTCTTCTTATGAGGACACCTGACACAGTGGGTTAGGGCCACACAGTGACCTCAATTTGCCTTAATTACCTTTCTAAAGGCTCTGTCTCCAGGTAGAGTCACATTCTGAGAGGCCAGGAGTTGGGACTTCAACATGTGAATTTGGGGGGGGGGGGGGGGGACACAGCTCAGCCCTCAACAGAGGTAAGAAAGGATCCAGCTGCAACTTTTCTTAAATTCTTTGATAGCACTAATAAGGTTCCTTTGCATCGTTACAGAACGTTTGCTTTAGTGAATGATGTAATACTCAGAGTGTTGGTTTTTAAATCCTTTCCAAAGATATAAATAACTCATGAATCAGACTGCAACTTACCTGTCAGCAGGGCCTCCTGTTCCACGCGCAGTTCCCGAAAAAGAAGAATCAAATCCACAGCTACGCCGATTGTATCCAAGTTCCTGCATCGAGTTGTGAGGAGACAAAGTTAGCCATCACCCTAAGCCTACGTGTCAAATGATCCAAAAGCAGCGCTGAGCCTGCTGGTGACCGATCCTGTGGCCGGCGGGACAAGGGCCTCCAAGGAGGCCGCACCGGGCTCCCCAACCCTGTGATTATGTGACCCCCCTGGGCAAAGGGGACTTCACAGTCAGGAGTATGTTAAGGAGGCTGAGACGGAAAGGGTGTCCCGCAGTGCCAGGTGGGACCGATGGACCTCAGGGTCCTTATGAGAGGAGGACAGAGGGTCAGAGTTAGGCAAGGGGCCACGAGCCCAGGAATGCAGGCAGCTCTTGAGGCTGGGAGAGGCCTAACTTCTGAGTTCCAGAACCGCAGGGTGATAAAGCTGTGTTGCATTAAGCTGCTAGTCTTGGTAATTTGTCACAGCAGCCACAAGAGACATGCAGATGAGGGTCGCAGAAGCGGGCGCTGCTGTAACGAACACCTGAGACAGTGGCAGCGGCTCTGAGACGGGACATCGGGCCAAGGCGGGGAGCATCCCGCGGCGCGCGCCCGGACGCCGGCGTCGCCCTGAACGGGCTGTTGGCAGACACCGGGGCAGGGAAGGCACTGCTGGTGAGGGCTCAGAAACGATGAGGAACGTGTTTTTGAAAACAGAGGGAAGGCCATCTTTTTCACACGGTGGTCAAAGCTCAGCTGAAATGTGTGTGGGAAGCAAAACACGCAAACGATAAACCTGGCTGTTTAGCTGAGCAGATTTCTAAGCCACATGTTGAGGGCCTGATTTCTTCTGACTGCTTAAAATGCGACAAGAGACCAATAAAGGAACGAAGAGGGAACGAGGTCTCAATGATTTTGGAAACTCTCAGCCTACCCCGTCTGCAAAAGCTGCCGAAACTAGGAGACCGCCAGGCAAAGGGCACTCTGGGAAGAAAGCTGCGGCTCAGGCCGGCCGACCCCGTGCTGGGGGCTGGCAGGGTGAGAAGGCCAGTGTGTCCATACCCTCGGCCATCTCAGCAGACACCAGGGCCAGTGATGGCATTATCTACGAAAGCTCTCTGGTGGACCCTCTCGTCTAACGTGAACCCCATGACATACATGTGAGACCCCCAGGGATTTTCAGAATGTTGCCCTGGCTGGTGTGGTTCAGTGGCTTAAGTGCAGGCCTGAGAACGAAAGGGTCGCTGGTTCGATTCCCAGTCGGGGCAGTCGGGGCACATGCCTGGGTTGCGGTCCAGGTCCCCAGGAGAGAGCGCAGGAGAGGCAACTACACATTGATGTTTTTCTCCCTCTCCCCTTCCCTCCCCTTCCCCCTCTCTAAAAATAAATAAAATCTTTTTTTAAAAAAGAAAGAAAAAGAATGTTATATCAGTAGAAACTCCACCAGCTTGAACAAGACACAGAGACTCTGAGGGCGGGGCAGGGGCTGAGCCTCCAGCCGCGGGGGCTCAACGTCCGCCCTGACACCAGGGTTGCCCGACTGGATTTCCGAAACTGCTCAGGTCCAGCAGATCCTTTTTCCTTCCATTCTCCCCCCTTGTAGAGTGCAACATCTAAAATGGTCACCCTACGCCTGTCCTACCGCTGTATTTTGGAACCAGAAACTTGTTTTCTAGTTTCACGTGGCGTGGGACATGGCCACGCTCATGTGTTCACGTATCACCTACAGCTGCTCTCACACCACATGGGGGGAACTGAGAAGTTATAACAAGGGATCGCAAAGCCTATGCTCTTTGTCATCAGGCCTGTGACAGAAGAACCACAGGGACCCCCCAGTGAGGGCGCGCTCAGGAGCAGGGCTGCCGAGTTCCTCCGAGTTCTTCCTGAAACCTCACGGGGCGCGCGCTGCTGCTTCACTGTAGGGGCCCCGTTCCCTATTTCCCAGTGAAACATAGGCCCATGGGAAGGTCTAAGCCTTCGCACCTTCAAGCCTTTTGACAAACTCTTTGTCCTTATAGAATCTTTGTTGTATTTCTGACTAGTAAATGTTTTTTTTCTGAGAGTGATGCCTAAAATGGCTGGACTTTTCCTTTAAAATCAACAGTGAATAAATGCACGTGTAGAAGGGAAGAGGCAGAAAAGTTAACACTATTAAATGCTCATTTCCATTTCACCCCGACTGTAAGTCGCACGCGATAAAGGCGCCATGACCCCCCAGAGCCGAGCCCTGTCAAGGGACCACTGCCGTAGTATTTAACTTTGTAATGTTTGGATTTCTATAGTTTATATATATTACTTTTGCACTCAAAAAAGAACACAAAAATTGCTTCCAAAGACAGTAGCATCCTGAGCGTTTATTTACTGTGCTGTCGCCCCCCAGGCAGGGGCAGAAGCCCGGGGCGTGACCGAGCCGTGCGCAGACACCAGGAGGCACTTACAGAAGCAAACTCTCCCACGACTCACGACAGTCCCTGTGGACCATACCGCTTGCCCTGTTTTACGGGAAAGAAAACTGGTACTCAGCGAGGCGAAGGGCCTTGTCCAGGGATGGCAGGGTCTCACAGCGCAGGGTCAGCTAGTGTCTCAGGACCACGCCAGCGCCTGCTTCTGAGCTGAGCTCCTATTTCAGTCACAAAGAATGTCCCTGGGCTCTTAATGAAGGAACGGCTCTCAGACAAGCCCTTTAACCTCTCTGACTCACAGTTCTCCTTTGGTAAAAACGGAAAACCAGCAGCGTACTATCCTGAGTTTGTTCTCAGGATTACACAGGACACTGCAAGTGGAGCCCTCGGGCTCGCAGCCTGCGGCTTAGGGCAGGCCCGCGGAGAAGGCTCGCCTCCCTCCCGGCCAGCCTGGTGGGGCGCTCGGGGGCGCTCGGGGGCGCAAGCGGCCTCGGCCAGCCCCTGCGCCAAGGCTCTCCCCCGCCCCCTGCCACGTTAGGGCACCTCCCTGCCTAGAAAGGGACAAGGACACCTGCCTCTGGCCCACTCTTCCAGCACGTAACTCGTTATGTTTTTAAAATGTTGACTATTATCATCAAGATTATAATTGTTTCTATCCATTCATCTGCAAATGGATGGCAGCTTGGTTTAGAGTTGAAGTTAAACAACCCTAGCTTTTTTCCCCTCTCCTTTCATCTTAAAAATCCCATTAATCATATCGCAGCCTCGGGTATCAGAACTGTCTAGGCAGCGCAGGGCGTCCCTCAAGTGGCTTCTGGACCAGCCCGGCTTCACCTGTCACAGCAGTGACAGGGCGGCCTGGAGGCTCGTCTGCTCGCATTCAGGAACGCAAGGCGAGTATGCTCTCTGTGGCTTCTGGCTCCCTCGCAGGTAATAATTTTTAATAACAAGCAGATTCCACAAAATCAAAGAGGGAAGGTGCTCCATTCTGGGAGGAGAGAGTAACGTGAGAAAGAACACGCACAGCACTGAGCTGTTCCCTTGCTTGGCTTTTAACCACGTTCATTGTAAAGTAGATGGAAGTGAGGCAGGCAACCTCACACAACCTTAAGGAAACCTTAAGATGGGTCGGTCATCTTAGAGGCTTACAAACTGCGCTCCCTGCTCAAAGCAAACCCAAGGATCACTCACTACAACGCAGAAACAAAACAAAACATTCACAACTAAGATGAGTGAGGTCCCGAGCAGGCAGGTCCTATCACATGTTACACCATCCTGTACTCAGAGGACTTCTCCCAGGTGCCATGTAAGGCCCAGACAACGTCTAACGGGTGGACCGGCAGGACAGAACCAGTGGGCACACACAGAAGCAAACCGAGCAGCACACATGCAACGACAAAGAGCACTACCTGATGGAGTTCTGGTTCACGGAACACTCTATGCAAGCGTTCCGGAGGCACCGGAAGCACTCTGTTATCAACTGCAGGCTGGAGGCCAGGTGGTCCCCCTGGGACGGGTCTCTGCAGGCCAGCTCGACGGCGTGCGCGGACTTCTTCAAGATATCCAGGACTCTCTGGAAGATAGTCCTGGGCGCGGTTTCTCTGAAAAAGGACAACACTGTCACAAACCAGAAAAAAATAACCTAACTTCCAAATGTCCTGTTCACACCACGGCCTGTACTTAATTCTGGGGAGTGGGGAGCGGGGAGGCGGGCGAGGCCTGCCGGGCCCAGCCCCCTACTGACAACACAAGCACAGAGCGCTAGGCGCCAGGCCCATGTCGGCCTTGCCTGTGGCGCCGTTTAATCTTTGCGTGAGGCCGGCCCTGTCCTCTCCATTGTGAAGACCGGATAACTGAAGCGGAAGGGGTTTAAGCAACTTGCCACATCCACAGGCAAATGCCGGCAGGGCCGGCTCCCACTGCAGCGGCCTGACTTCGTGCCCCACTCCCCAGCCAACCCACACCCCGCTTCCCGGGGGCTGTTCGCACGTCTGCATCTGCCCTTCATCCACACAGAACAGCTCCGTCTCCTGTTCCAGACAGCGTGCAGGGCCGTGTCCTGCCACCCCGTAAGTGCCTCAAGGACAATTAGGAGAGACAACATTCACAAAGGCAGACTGCCTGGGAGGCCAATGGCCTATCCGGCCCCTAGATACGGAGAAGCAGGCCACACCGGCTCGGAGGGAGAGCACGTGCGTGCGTGTGTGGGTGCACGTGGGAGGGCATGCGCGTGTGTGCATGCATCGTGCGTGTGCGTGGGCACTGGTGCACGCATATTCATTCCACTACACAGATGGAAGAGGGAGACAGGGAGAGGCACAGAGAAAGAGAAAGCCCTCTTCAAAGGCGAAGGCGAGTGCGTGCCCAGGGGAGAAAGGAGCCCCCCAGGCGTCTCAGCTCCCACATGCCTCTCATGCCAGGAGTGGGGCCCGCACTGACTATCACTCCATAGCTATGAAGGCAGGACCTGTGTGCACAGCAGAGCACCTGAACGCAGGCCAGCTTCCTCATTCCATGGCTCCCCTGGAGGAACAGCCACGTTCCGAAGTTAGAAGAAATACTGCTGTGTGGGTCAACACGAGGGATTCTCTCTGATTAATTCTGTCCAGACAAATTGTCTGCTTTTGCCCCCACCCTGCAATCACAGCGGGCCCCGCTCCTGCCGTCCTGGACCAAGCCTGGGAGTCAGGGAGCCGCACACTTAGGCAGAGCTGCCGACCAGGAAACAAATGCCCACGGTGCTGGGCTCGCTAGGGGCTGGGAGGCCCACCTGCCCCTCCTTTCCCGCCCAGAAGATGCGCTTCCCTCCCTGAGCTTCAGGACCAGCGCACTGGTCACGCACTGGTCACGCGGTGCCGCAGCTTCTGGAGAGCCCCGACACCCTCGCGCGGACAGCCTCTGCACGGCCTGACTGCGGCCGCGGCCACAGCCGCGGCCGCGCCCAGCCTGGGACTCTGCAACACGCGGCCCGGCGGCCCGGCTCCGAGCGCCAGCCTTGCTTCCCTGCCTGGCTTTCCCTTCTCTGCACTCTCCCGCCCTTAGCTTTTATTTTTATTTAACTGTATTTATTTTTCCAAGTGCTTCAACTTTGTTTTGGGAAAGAGGCAGAGTGTAAATTAATCAATTAAAAATTGAGAAAGCACGCCTAAAATAATTTGCCCACACCTCCCTGAGCATCATGAAGCTTTGACTCAATGTCACAGTGATTGACTGACCAAATAAAAAAGAAAAAGTTCAATAACTATATAAAACAATTAAGTATGTAAGCCATTTTTCTTGATAACAATTAGGTAGGTAAGCCATTTTTAGTGACAATATGCCATAAAAGAACATATACTAACATTTTCAAGAAAGCTTTAACTAAATCCAGTGCAGACATTAATAAGCTAAGAAAATACCCAAGAGTTTAAAACCTTTCAAAGAATGACAAAAGTGAGCCCAATTTCTACAACAAAGAATAAATTTATTATTTAATCTTACAGTCAAATCAAAGTAGAGCCCTACAACTTGAATAGTCAACAGTAAAGCTTCCTTTTCCCAGTAAGATGGCTGAGAAATGTGTGTTTACACCTGTGAAAAAGAAGCCAATTCCATCTTCTTTCAGCTGGTCCTTTGCAAGCTACCTCTGACATGGGTGTCGCCTTCCTGTCATGTGGCCTTCCCTGATGTCAGTCACTCTTTAAAGCCTTAACATTCAGTTTACTCAAAGTTGGTATTTAGCAGAGCAAAAGCTTCCGGACCAAACTACGGCAGACTGAACAAGACAGGGAGGGGAAAAGGCCTGTTCTCAGGACAACTGAGTAACAGATACATCAACAGCAAAACAGGTAGCTCATGAACTGTCCTGTTCATGACTCCCAAAGTCACATGTTAACTTGTTATTTATGCACCATGTCTGTTTCCTTTACTATATTTTAACCAAAATAAAAATATTTAACTGAGCTAAAGTCAATCAAAAGATTCCTGAAATCCAAATAACTACTAATAGCCACTAAAGAGTAATCATGGCAATGTCTCCCTGGCACACAGTAACTCGCACCTGCGGTACAGAGCCAGGCTGGGTCCTGACCAGTGTGACTCCACTGGGCACCGTCGTCCCACAAAGTGAAAGGTGACCAGTACAGTTTCTGGTCAGGGCACATGTCTGGGGGGTGGGTTCAGTCCCCGGTCAGGGCATGTGCAAAAGGCAACCAATCCATGTTTCTCTCTCACACTGCTGTTTCTCTCCCTCTTGGTCTCCCTCTCTTCCCCTCTAAAAATAAATAAATAAAATCATTTTACAAAGAAAAGGAATTGGAATTGGGATCGCTGTCATCTGCTCCCCCCGAGTCACGTGCACACCCACAGGTTCCCGAACACCCCAAGCGCCTGCAATCCCGTGTCTGCTCAGACGTACACCTGCCGCCAGGGCGCCCTCTCCACACACACCTTCCCCGCCCCACTCTCGCCTGGAAGAATGTCTGTCTCCTGGCTCTCAGCCCCGGGGAGAACCCCCAGGACTCCCGAGAAGCCGGCTCCCGTCCACGCTCCGCTGGCACTCAGTCCAAGAGGCCGAAGTAACACTTCCTCACGTCAGATTACATTCCCTTTGGTCTACCTCCCCAGCTAGCCCGTGAATCCCCCAAAACAGAGACCACCTTATTTCTTTCATTATCCCGAGGGTCCAGAACTGGCCTTCATTTACTACCTGGACTTGTTCAATCGAAGCTTAGCACAGCCATGAGACCACTGGGACACTCGGAGTGGCAGCGGACTGGCTCAGAGCTGTGTGACCCAGACGCCTCCGGAGCCACGCTCCGGGCCGGGTGCCCGACCTGATGGGAGCGGTGAATCGGTGCGCTGTGTGACGACAACTGGGCAAGGGAACTACTGAGGCATCGGCTCAGCTCTTCCATTGCCATTAAGAAATCCACAAGTCCTAGACTCAAAAACATGAAAATGTCCTATGTTGAGATGTAGAAATCTTCTGATTGACATGTAACAGACACCTAATTTCTCCTCGCCACTACATGATAAATGGATAAATTTAAAGGGGGAGGGAGGGAGAGGAATCATAGCCCAATTAACTGTATTTTAAATTTCTTGAGAGCAAACTATTTCTTAAATGTTTTTTATCCCTCTGTAAAGAGTTGAAGGGAAACCCTTCCCTCTAGAGCCATATAATAAATAGCTCTATATTTTATTCACCATATTTTTATACAATATAATACATTAACAACTTTCATCAGATGAGGACAGAAAAGCTTTTACTCACTAGCAGTAAATACTATGAAAGCATTTAACTCTCTTCTATACTTCTTTACCTTCTAAAAAGCCTTGAAAGGCAGCTTTTTTGGCATTACAGATCCAAAGCAGTCATAATGCACTCTGTCTACAAATTCTAAGTTCACTGTCAAGACAGCACAGCTAAATATGTGTAATGATTAACGACAGTGAAATAGCTCATAAAGATCAGTCCATCGTTCCTATATTACAAACGTTATTAATAATAAAAATTGCTGTCATTTCTGTGTTAACCAAACTAACACAAAATATTCATAAGGACTTGAAAAAGCTTAGCTACTTCATTCACAGGAGGCAGAAAGTACTTAAGAGGACAATTAAAATTCAACCGTTAGACATTCCTATTAGATAGGAATGCATACCCTGAAGACAACATATAAATGAAATGTTACATTACACAACAAAAAAAAGGCCAAAAAAAAGCCTTTGAATTATACAAAAGGTAGAATTTCATCTCCTTCAAGTTTGAACAGATCTGTAGGGTAATCTTGGCAAGTCCTGTTTGAGTAAAATTACAGAAAACTGCCCGTGATTACATGCAGCAGGTTAGATAGGTCTAATACACCATCTGTACAGTTAATTCATCAGCTGGGACCTCCTACTAAAAAGGAAACTAAATGCTAGTCATTGTGATGCTACAACTAAGGCTTTCATACTTGTTAAAAGATTTATTCTAATACCTTAGATTTAATTAAAAACTGGCATATGTGGTTTACAGTAGTTTAACCACTGTCACTATGAAAAACTATTAAAACACACACAAGTTCAGAGATTAAAGTAACAATCACTGGTTGTTATTTAAAACCTTAAGCCCTGCCTACCGACTTGACTGGGCTGATAGAGCAAAAACAGAAAGGAAAACATTTCTATCTCCTGCCAGAAACAGCCTAGAGCAACATTTTGAAATTCATCTGTGCAGACCTCAAAATTCTCCTCTTTTACATCCGTTTGCCCTGTTCTGTCACATCCAGGACTCTCCCAGCTGTCCCTGAAGGCCCGGCCACTCCACTCTGAAGGGCTGGCAGACTTCCGTCCAGGGTCGGCGAGGACGCTGGACTGCAGCCTCCGGCCTCCGCACTGTAGCACACAGGCCTCCTCGGGCAGTACCTGCAGGCACCAGCGTAGCCCTGTCCTCGTGAAACTCTGCATCCGACCCAACACTTAAAAGTTCACATCAACACTTAAAAGTTCCACGTGTCACAAAATTTTATTTGTTTTCCTCAAGCATTTAAAAATGAAGAAACCATTCTTAAGTTAAAGACCATAGGTCCAAACGGAATTAAGAGGGGAAATGTGAATACGAGGAACAAAAGGGACA